TGAATTGAGGACATTATGCTAAGTGAAAATAACCAGTCACAAAAAGACAAATACTCTGTGCTTACTTATACATGAGGCACGTAGTAGTAAAATTCATGGAATTGAAGTGAGAGGAAGAGGGGGTATTTAATGGGTATAGAATGTGTGTTAAGAATTTTACAAACATTTTAGAGGACAGTAATTAATACAACGCTTATTTTTAAAGGTATATTTTGAATATATCTTGTTAGGTATGTTTTAACCATTTTTAAGAATCATATTAAGCTCTTTTTTCAGATGACTTAAATATTGCAATATTCACCAGTGCAGAATCACACTGTGGATCAGTAATAGAAAGGGAAATTATACATTGTTCATCTCCTGAGATTCCTGCAGAATTTAATGAACAGTTTAACACTCAGAAAAACAAACAAGAACTAAGAAGTCAGAATAAAGGGGCCAACTTAGAAAAAGAAAACAGTTGGTGTAATGACCAGTGTAATCAGTTCACAAGAACAGAGAAGCAAACAAAACATATGAAGAAATGTTCTAAAAGCCCGAAATGGAATATAAATAAGCCACTCAAAGGGTATATTCCAGCATCAGAAAAGTACCCTAAACAGCTTCAAAAGCAAAGAGAAGAAAAAAAAGTAAGAAGGCAAATGGAACTGCTACATTTAGTAGAAAGAAATAATCCTGGAAACCTCTCTCAAAACAGAGGCACTTCACCAGTTCTTCGTTCATCTCATCAAGAAACGGAGCCAAAGTTCAGGTCGCATTTAGTCAAAAAGGTAAAGAAAGCTCTTATATCTTAAAATATATTTAAGAGCATAAAATATATTTAAGAGCATATATTGATGTGTTCTAGATTGAAAACACAGTTCCCCACACACGTTTTCACAAGGCTGTTTCTATGTCTGGAGTTCTAGAAGTTTTCTTTGGTTTACACTGGGAGATGGCAAACTATGGCCCATGGGCAAATTCATCCTGCTGCTTGCTTTTGTAAATAAAATTCTGTTGATACACAGCTATGTTCATTCTTTTATATATTATCTTTGGCTGGCTTCACACAACAGCTACTGTGTTTAGAGTAGTTACAACAAAGACCACATGGGCCAAGCCAAGAGTTTACTATTTAGTCCTTTATAGAAAAAGTTTACTCTTAAATCATATATAGATTAAAGCTGTTCTTTATTCAAACACCTATTCAGAACTTTAGATCCATATAGACAGAGGATAATTTATAAAATCAGAAAATAATGGATTGGTTCTGACTTTGGAAAATTACAAGTCTAATATCTTCTATTCAAATATTATCCTTAGATGTTTTTCAACAAACACAAAGTATTGTGCAAACATATGCAAATAGTATTACTACTAACCGCATTTATCCATCTTTTAGGAAGAAGAACCCCTGAAAATTAGTTATTTCAGCAAAGAAAGGTATGTTATGAATAGATCGATTTCCATAGTTACTTAGTACTGTGTGTGTGGTATAAGAGATACAAAATATTTGCTCAAAATATAGGTAAGGTCAAGAATATATGTATATGAAGACAAACGGGAAAGTGTGATTTTGAAGTTAGAGGTTTAAAATGGAAAGGGTAGCTGGCATTTAAAATTACCTAGATTTTGAAGGCTGTTGGATTGGGTTTAGGTATGTGAACAGTGTCAATCTAAGATATTCTGGTTGGATTGGGTTGGGGGGCAGGAGAGAAAGAAATGACTGATGTGGATAATGAAAAATTCAATTAACCAATGATAGATTTGTAACTGTTACAATTTTTATGTCTTTAATGTAAGAAATAGCTGGTTCAGAGTTGTCTCATAATATGGTTCTAACAGCAAGTTTAGGTCAGATGTAAGTACATTACTTTATGATGAATTGAGAAACATTAGAATTAAGTAACCTTGCTAGCATTGTGGGGCCCCTTTCCCCCCCAGGATCTAGTAGTTTAATCCCTACCCCATCCCAGTAAAGTATACATATCTTTAGCAAGCATTAAAAACTCAACCCCAATCTGTTTCTAAAGGTATTATAAGTACATTTAGGATAAATTGAAATGCAGTTAAAGATGGTTAATCTGAAATATACAATTTACATTAATCCCTATGGTGTTTTATTTTTTTAAATACAGGTCTCAATCACCACAGGTTCCTGTGATGAAAAACAGAACTCAACAGACACTGAAAAAAAGTAATTATGAAAGAGAAAATCTGATCTCAGGAGGCAATCAAACAGAGTTATCACCTAGGATTTCTGAACCATCTCATTTTATTCCCTATGTTCGAACCAATGAGATCTATTACCTTGATCCAGATGCACCGTTGTCTAGGCCTCTAACCCAGGATCCTCAGTACCAAAATCCACATAGTAAGTATTCTCCCCTTTAATTGTAAATTCAAAATTGGTATTCCTATCCTACAAAGTATCATAACAAGGTTTGCGCAAGTTTTTTGAGGTCCATTATTAAATTTTGCTCAATGCTTTCCTAGGACATAAATTCAGTATGAATCCTTAGAATATACAATAACATAGTGCTGTATATACCATAGAAATGTTTTTGTCATCTGACTTTAGATTGTGATCAAGAACGACAGCTATTTGACTCGGACAGGGACCCACTTCTTAATCCTAATTTGGTGAAAAACCGGGATAGACAGCAAGCAATCCTAAAGGGACTATCAGAACTGAGACAGGTATGAACTTTTATGAAGTGTGGATGTGACTTTTGTAGTGTTGGAATGACTGTTTTACCAAATGCCTGGTTGGTTACATGATTTATGTGACTGCACCCCAGTTAAAACAACAAAACGTCAGTTATCTACAGGATTGAGGGATAAGTAGGTTTATAGTTAAATGTGAAACAGTTTATATTTTCTGTAAGAACTGGAAATCTACTTTAGCCTATATTTTATTCTTAAATTGAAACGTTTGATGTCTTAGCCATGTTTTAAGAATTTCCAGCATGAAATAATGGTACAGTTCAAATATTAAGACATTTTTATTGAATGAAAAACAAATGCATACATTATTGTAAAACATGACCAATCAATAAGGCCCTAAAACCAAAGGCAGAAAATAAATATACAATAATGGTAGAAGAGATTCTTTGAACTGCAGTTCACACTTTTTAAAAGTGGATATGTTGGCAGTGTTTAGAATTGACATAAGTCCCAAAGAACATTTACAAGTAATATAATTCAGTATGAAATTATATGTATAACCTTACTCGGACTACTTTTTATTCCAGACCAATTTCTGTGAATTCTAATCTTTCTTAGGTAAAAACAAAAATCACTATTTAAGGCTATGATTTTTTACACTGCCATTTTAGGAATGCCTTTTTCCATATTAAGTCATTTACCAATAATGTCTCTTGTACTACAAATTGGTGATTCAACAGGATTATGAAGAAAACTTTTTTAATGATAGGTTTGGTTTCATATAGATAGTTAGCTTAATACAATTCTGGATTAACAAGGTAAAATAGAAATAATATGCAAGTCTGCTACACACCTTACTAACATATCAATGTGATTTCAGGGCCTTCTCCAGAAGCAAAGGGAATTGGAAACTAATCTCATCCTTTAGCTGGCAATCAAGAAGATAATTTTAGTTCTTCATTTTCAATATAGAAAATCAAATCCTTCACATTTGTCTTCTAAATTATAAAATGTGCTCATTGCTTAATTGTATTTTTTTTCAAATAGCCTAGATTTATTTTTAAACGCTTATTTAAAACTTGTATATTCTGTAATAAAATGCTATATATGTATATATAATAATTTTTTAACAATAAAACAGTTTTCTGCTCAGTTACAATCTGGGTATTAGGACTTACCTTAATACAGTCTGGAGTCTGCTAATAGACAATGTTCGTCCACACTTTTTAAATACCTATGTATTTTGCTCTATAAAAGATTTATACGTCTTCTTTTGAAGTGCCAAAGGAATAAGTCTGGTTTAATATATCCCAACTTTTACAAAAATAACCGATTCCTTTTAAGCTCACATGATAATTTTTTTTTTTCACATGATAATTTTTTTCTTCCTGTTTTTATGACTTATTTAGGAACTACAGTTTTTTTCAAAGATATTTACAAGTTTGCATTAGTAACGGAGAGGCAGTTATTGGCTAGTTGTGGGTTTAAAATTTGTCTCCACCACATACTAATCTGTGAATTTAAGAAGTTGTTTTAATCTAGCATTTAAGTACTTACCACCTCAAAAAGACTTCTATCAGTTTAAAAACTTATAGGCAAAGGGTTTGTTCCAAATTGTCCAGTGCCTTTAATAAACCTATTTTTGAAACTGAAGTCAAGGGCCACACAAGCACTGAAAATTATAATTACCAAGTACTCTAAAATAATAGGTTGACCAAAATTTTAGCAACATGCCAGAAGGAAAAAAAAAATGCTGCCTGGTATTAAGGCCTAAGTCTTATTATGTACATAGTTTATTATCTTAAAAAATGAAACGGAATTATTAGATAAATCTTGAGGTATTGAGCCAAAATCCTGTAAATATTTATTAATATCACTGGCTTATACCTGTATAAAAACTATACAAAAGCTTAAGTGAAAATAAATACAATAGTTGATACATCATTTCAGCAAAAGTAGTTGGTATCATCTAACAATAGAGGAAAGCCATTGCTGTTTACGATCCTTTTGCGAACACCTAGTTTTATATATAAAAGACTTCAATTTGAAGCCAAAGTACAGATGACATACAAACATAAAACTTAAAAAGTGCCAACATGAGATAATTCAAGTACAATATATGTTAAAAATATATATATATATTTATTTCGATTTTCATATGCTTTAACGGTTACAGGCCATCATGATTTAAATAAAAGGGGGGAAACATTTCAGTAAGGACAGAAACCTCTTGCTTAAAGAATGAAATATAAATTGTTAATTCACTTTTAAGAAACAGAAAAAGTCCATTAACAACCTATGTAAAAAAAAAAAAGTTACTGTAATTATTTTTCTTTTGAAGATGGCCTGGAAAGTCATTTTTCCCCCAACCTTTCAGAATAAGCAGATAAAAAGTAATTTTCACTTTGAGACTGACTTGATGGAAGGGCATATGGTGTTCCCAAAAATGTCTGGTGAGTGAGGACATTAAAATGACTACACTGATGGGACATATTTAATTGATTTTGATAAACCTGAAAGTTGCTATATGAATCTTGTTCAGCTGAATTGTTCTGTCCTTCAGAGCTTACATCAATAGAAGCTCTCTCTTCAGAATCAATTTGATAAGTCTTATCTTCTAATAAACTTTTTTGCACGTCAAGAGACGATTGCAACTCAATTTGAATATTCTTATTTTGATCTGTTCCACGTGATCCTTTGGTCTCTTTCGCCAATATTTCTGAACTGCTGTACACTTCTATTTGTGAGATTTCATCCCCTGAATCCAGAGACATATCCTCTTCATCCTTTTCATCGTTTTCTAAAAGAGCTACATTTAAAAAACAAAAAGTCCTACTCTATTGAAATATACAATTTAAACTTTAAAATTACACACTACTCACACAATATAACGCGTCAGGGTCTGCAAGTCCACAATCCCTTAAATCTTGGTCTTCTGCCACAAGTTCACTTAGTCACAACACTCACACTAGGTGTGAATGTCCAGATAATCCGATGCTAAAAGCTTCTGCGAAATGTGTTCACGTTTAATGTTGGGAAATCCCAACTCCCAGCTCCAAAGGGGTTAATGTCAAAACAGCATCTAAAGTTATACGGTAATTCAGTATTTGACAAGACAAATACAAAATAAAAATTCTGACATCTAGCTTCACTGGATTTCTAAATTGGTAAGCTCTATCAAATGATCTCTGCTTTTAATCAAAACCAAAAAGACATCTTTTATATAAAATCTGGAACCAAAGCAGAGGCCATTGCACAAAAGACTAAAGCTATGGATAGCCCTACAGCTTTGTATTAAATTACATCTGGGGATATTTTGTACCCCAATGTCAAATCCCCAATTCCTTTTAAAAAATATAACCCCTTCGCTGACAACAGCAGCCAATAAAGCTTACAATACCTCAAAGAGAAATATGCCTACTTTATAGTATGCAGTCCATAAAAACTAACAGCTTGTATTGACTACTGTATAATAAGTGAGCAGATTTTGTGTATATTAAAAATGATAAATTCATTGAAACACTTCCCTTGAAGCTGTTTACCTGAGGTGTGAGTGGTTTCAAAATAGGCATCTCATCATATGGAAAGAGTGAAACCATTCCTCTTTTTCTGTCTGCCTTCAAGAAAATGAAAACTATTAAAACATTACCTGACTGCGACTCAAGATTCTCATTAGCACCAAGCAGTGGAAGGTTTTCTTCTGTGACCAAGTTGTGATAGCCCACGAGATCTTTAAAGTTTTGCATAAAAGCTGCAGCAGATGCAACTACTATTCCACTGTCTGTATAACTTGAGGGCATCTGGATATTCTTTTCTAAATTAAAAAGAAAACGTTTTCAGTATAAAATACTTGAAAATGTACATTGGCAAATGCTGATGTCTGCTCCCAGCCCTCCTAAAATTCTTTCCACCACCCTTTTCAGAATCATATCCTAACAGTCAATACCCACTATGGCCTCACACAATCCTTTCATCCACATTCTTATAGTAGAAAACTGAAGACCACTGCTTACCTGTTAAAAAAACAATGTGTCGTTGCTGTATATTCTGAGCCTGAAGTCTAATAAGGCAGTCCAATTCTGGAGCATTTCGAGCTTGTGAATCACAAGTGTGGTAAGACAAAATTTCAACCAGATGTTTCTTCTGATAGACATTCAGAAGCGTCAACAGACTTAGAGCTTTAGCATTCAATCTGTGAAATTAAGTAGTTCAGTATCTCCTAAAATTTACTGTGGAAGTTCCTGCTTCAAATGTAACTATAATCTCTAACTTGAGGCAACTAATGACAACTGCACTCCTTAACCCACTGCCTGATACAGACATGCTTCTTGAGAGAGAGAGAGAGAACAGCAACTGTGCAAACCACATGTAAAGTTCAGGGGCTTTCTCTGCAGGCAAAGCTTGAGGGCCAACTATTCAGTGTAGACTAAAAGCTCAATCATTCACTTAAGTAACAAATTACAGTTCTCTTTATTTTCTCCAATTTTGAACTTTAGTAAAGGCATAAATGGGTAACAAAAAGAAAATGAACAACTATTATCAGGAATAGGATGGTATTAACTTTGTACAAGTTAGACCTTTGGGCCTCAGTACTGCTGTTATGTAAAGTAAGATTTAAAGGTAAAACAAGCTTTTAAAAAGTGAATTACTACCGCCAGGCTGGGTGGCTTCAGTTAGTTGGTGGTGTTGTCTCCTACACCAAAAAGGTTTTAGGTTCAATACCCAGTCACATCACATGCCTAGGCTGTGGGTTTGACCCTGGTCGGACCACATATGGGAGGCAGCCAATCCATGTTTCTCTCCCTCTAAAATCTGTGAAAATAAGTAATTCAGTATTCTCAGGTGAGGATTAAAAGAAAAAAAGAATTACTACCAAAAGTCAAATACTTTAAAATTATTTAAGCATGAATTTCCCTAAGTGTGTACCATGAAATATCAAATATTAGAAAAAATTTGTGGTCTAAGTTTAAGAAATGCTGGTTGACAAAATGTAAAACAGAATTCTTAATTACAGAGTTTATCAGATCCTTACATATGTGAATAGTACATTATAGGATCCCAAACTCATCTGATTACATAATTGTTTGTGGAGCCTCCCAAAGGGATGTTGCTCCAAGGTTCACACTTTGAGAAGTGATTTCAGGCCATGTAAGTGATTAGGACATAAGTAAATGTCCTGATCACAAATCCCTACATATGGTGAAACCAATCTTTGTCTCAGTTATAAGTGTGCTATTATTAAATTAGCAACGTAAGGTAACCCTTAAAAGGGAGAGCCTGATCTAGTGAGCATACACTTCAGTAAAAACAATAAAGACCACCGATTATTCCATTTTGATTATTATTCAAAACCCCTAAGTAGCAAGGTCAACCCAATTTTACCTATATACATAACCAGAACTTCAGCAAACTTCTACCTAAATAATACCACTTGCAAATAGGTTAGAATAAATTAGAATCACATTCCCTTATAGCTGGCTAAGGAAAAACTGAACAGCACCCATAATCTATAAACAGAAAAATTCAGAAAGAAATTTTGTCAACATCCATGTGCACAAAATGTTAAATCAACAACCATCATATAGGTTTTTCTTGAAATCTTACCTGCCCAGTTCCTTTAGTTTTTTCTGAAACTTACAGTGGACTTTCCATTGCCATTTTCCTTCTGGAGTACTAAGTTCCTCAAGGAATGTCAAAAAATTTTTAAGGTTTTCTGTTAGAGATAATGAAGTTGATTTTAAATTCAATAAATAACAATCTACCCAAACCTAATTACATAAGTGTATGGTGATATTGTGTAGAAACACCTACATTCCTAAGTATTAGTTTTTTTCTCTCCCCCACCTCTAAAGGAGACATTTTTATATTCTCTTTTAGATCTGAGAATTTCACATCTACACATTATAAAAAAGAACATGTTGATGACAATAAACCAGAAGTAATCCAAGTGCAATAGGTATAGAGGGCCTTATTTGCTTTAGAACAAATTTAGAGGAAATTATTTGTAAAGACTAAGAATGGGAATTTGAGGTAAAAGGCTCAAGAAAATGAATGGAAATGTACTACTTATCTATGACTGGCTGAATGGATAATACAGTAACAAGTGTGAGTGAGTTATTGAGAAAAACTTAGGCAAGAGAGAGGTTATGTGCTCAAAAGAATGCATAAATCTTACCAATTGTGATAACTTCTGGATTTAGAATGGATTCATCGGAAACAATAAAACCTCCAGATATAAATAATTCATTGTATGTATGATTTTTAACATCATCCAGACTATCAACACCAGCAAAACTAACGCAGGGAAGCTTCTTTAAAGTCACCAGGCCAGGTACCTATTTAAGTAACAAAAACAGAACTAAGGACAAATAAGGGAATGAACTGACCCTAGTGTTAAGTAACCTACAAGAGAAGTATTAACAAAATGCACTATGGCTAACCTAAACCAAGCACAAAATATTCCCAACATTATTTCCAAATATATAAACCAACATTTATGTAATCGTTTTTTTCTACCTACCATTGCTAGAAAACACTTTAAGGAAAAGGCAGAATAGATCTGGAAACGATTAAAAATGCTAGCTTGTCTGGCCCTGTGAGTACAATCAATTCAAACGAGAGCAAGAACCTACATGACACTGAACAGTTCGGAAAGGCTTCAAAGGGCAGCAGGACTTGAGAGAGGCTCATAAGACTAACTGGGTATGCATGCAAGAAGCATAGCCAATGGACACAGGCACCAGGGGGTGAGGGGCAATGAGGGGATAGGACATATATCTAACACCTTAATCAATAAAGGATAATAATTTTTAAAAAGGCTAAATGGGGTACCTCCAAATCTAAGGGATAATTAATGGCCAGTTTGGCAAAGGGGGTAAAATTGGGTTTTACCTGGGGCATACAAATGAAGAGATGACTAAATATAAAGTCAGCAGACTTGAGTGACATAGGTTTGTGATGTGCTGCCATTTAAAATTTTATAGGGGTACAGATTTGAATTTCACAAGCTGATTCATACAAGGGTCGTTTAGGTCTCAGCCCTAAATATCCAAACCTCAAAGTTTTATCTCCTTTAAAGCTTATGAGGATATTTTAAAAACCAACAGTTTTAGTTTCAAAGGCAGTAAGATTCTATAATAAGGATGTTTTGTAACCCAAAATAAGTTGTAAATTTGACTTAGTCTACCTTGTGAATGAAGCCTGCAATGTCTTCATTTTGAATAATAATTAATAGTTTATCTATTTTTGATCTTCTTTCCAAAAACTGTTCTGGATGACATTCTGTATTGCCTAACTTGATAAGATATTCCTGTTAAGAAAAGAAAACTAAATCAACATAAAGCTCTTTTGCAAACATCCATTTAACGTTAGAACTGCAAAATAAACTGATAAACTAAGCTAGATCCAAGGGCCTTAGGGATCATCAAGTCTGCTTTTATTGAATCTAAAGCTCAGAACTGAATGGTCACAGCCACATGTTACAATGCTATGCAATCGACGCTAAGTAAACGACAGTGTGGGGTATAAAAAAAACCATAGTACAAACAAACAATGGATTAGCCCAGGTTCTTAACCCAGCTCCACTACTTATTCTAGGCAACCCGAGCCCAATCATCAACCATTTCCTCACTCCCATTTTCCTTTTTTTTTTTTTCTTTTTCCAAAGCAGGCCCTTGGTTATCTGCAGTAATGTTATTGGTATACTCCTTCAGAATTACAAACCACTTTTCTGACCACTCACTTAATTAGCTCATTTAACTCACAACATTCCCAAAAGGGTACTACCTTTCAAAGGACACATGTAGTCCAAGCAGATCTCCCTTAGCTTGCTGGAGGAATCCTGAACTCTGAAGCAAACTGCAGGATGCTGGAAGTCACATTCCTCATTTCTCAGACACAGGAGCAAATTCATATTCTCAAGGTTGGCAGGCTAGTTAGTATAAATCTAAACCCAGCTTACCTCAAAACCAGTCTACTGGTCTTTGTATCACACCCTCAGGGGTTGTTTCTATGGAGCTCCAAACTAAAGTAGATCAAAAGAATTTGATTTTGATTTAACCTGTAAAGCTTCTGGGCAGATTTGAGAGCAGCTTACGGTCAGGTAATAAGATAAATTACTGTCAGGCCTGCTTATAATTGTTGGTCTTTTTACATTAAGAACTTTAAATGAGAGTTCATTTTAATGCATACAGTAAATCCTCGATTTAATGGACTTCGGATTTAACAGACAAATTTTTCAGTCTGTATGTCGTGTGAAAATTAGTACCATTAATTTTAAAATGCTTTTAACCAAGATTTGCTTATAATTAAATTTACAGGTTAATTTTTTGTTATTATTTCACTGTTATTTTAAACAAATTCTAACTAATAGGCCTGTGTTGGAAAAAAACAAAAAACAAAACCCCACTGGTAATTTTGCTGATATAAATATTACTTATCTACAACTAAAGTATACATATTTAAATTCAAGAGTCACTGCTCATAGCCAAAACCAGTTTGGCTCAGTGGATAGAGCATTGGCCTGTAGACTGAAGGGTCCCAGGTTCGATTCCAGTCAAGGGCATGCACCTTGGTTCCGGGCACATCCCCAGTGAGGGGTGTGCAGCAGGCAGCAGATCTATGTTTCTAACTCTCTGTCCTTCTCCCTTCCTCTCTGTAAAAAATTAATAAAATATATATTTTTTAAAAGTCACTGCTTATAAACAGTGTTCAGCAAATCATCTGTTGTCATGTAGCGTGACTCTGCAGCAGTTTCAACACATGTCAGCCGATGTTCTGACGTGTGCTGCACCATGCCCTCGTCAAGTGCATTTGTTACTCTTGGTGACTAGTGAATGCAAACACTTACTAGACCTATTTATTATATATTTTAAATTCCTGTAATAGAAAACATTTCTGTGAAATTAAACTTTTCATACATAAAGTAAAAACAGGTAAACTAATTTATCAATTTCTTAACATACATATTCAGAAAACCTTTATTATATAATGGATTATATAATGAACTTTTAGCTTTAACAGACACCCTCTCACCTGAATTAGTCCTTTATATCGAGGTTTTACTTTACAATAACAAATCAGTTTGACTCCAGAAATCTTTAGGAAATTTTAACATTTTATTCACCATTTTTATTCTTGGTAACATTTTTGCCAGAAATATTCCAATGATATTGATTTTAAAAGTTCCAATCTGATTTCCTATCAGATTTGTAAATCAGAGCTTTCCCACCCTTAAACAACAGAAATATGACTTAATCCACTCCAGACTGAATTAAAAGCATTTCCTGTGTGTTATAATCAGTTTCAGATTGTGGTTGGGGGAGGCCCTTGGTTCTCATGTAGCTCCCACACCAATATGCAGTTATGGCCCAGAGTACCATCCTTGGGCACATGTTCTGGCGCTGGGAAAAAACAGAGAAGCTCTATGTTCAATCATACAAGACAAAATGCAACCAAGGAACTGAATTCTTAGTAAGTCTGGTTGCATCCTCCCAAGAAACCACAAAGAATTAAAGACACACTGAGCGCACTCTCATTTCCATGCTCGGTTCTCCTGGGCACACTACATGAAGCGTGCGGACATTAATAGGAGATTCAAAATGACAAAGGCTCAGGACATATCAGCAGCATGGAGTTTCAGGGTCACTTTGGGCTTATAAGTCACTTATTTATAGTTTCTTTTGCTTTCTCTTACAAAACAATCAGAAATTCATCATGGCAAGTAAATTATGTAAGTAGAGCACATATTTATTTTAAAACATAAGGCATTCCCTTAAGGAATTAAAATCCTACAGGTTAGTGAATTATAATTGCTTATTAAACCCATAGAACTGTTTGGATATATAATTTACATACCTATTATTTTGTAGACCTATGTCTAACCCTACACACATACAAAAATACATGTGTTGTTTTTTTAAAAACTAAAAACCCTCACTACTCTGTAGCTTCAATAGAAAAAAAAAATCTTTCAGTGAAGAATCTTTCATGACTAGGGAGTCTTTCAGGATCATACTATTTTTTGATCAATAAAGGCTATAGGGAACCTGACATGATCAGGTATCAAGAAACACCAAAATATTTTATCATAAGGTTATTCCCGGACAGTTTTATTTTTTTATTTGATATAACCCATGGGGTAAATACTGACAAAGTCCTTTATCCCTCTGTATCTTTCCCTCCCTGTCATTAAAAACCCAAGAAAGAAATATTTAAAATCTTTGAGTAGTTTAAAGGTATTTGCAGTATGTAACAATGGTCTTTAAACAATAATCTAAATTCTAAGATATTTACATCACAAGTTTTCAGTTTAGTTGAACTTAAGTCTTTCATTCCATTCTGCATTAAAATATATTTAAAAAAATAATCTTTATAGAAGTCAGATCCAACATGTCAAGTTCATACAACATATAAACCTCTCTTTTAGTTACCTTTATTTCTTTACAGAGCACGCTCTCTTCTTCTTCATGAATGTAAAATTTCACAGTATTTCTCTGGACATCTTTCATGATTTTAACCAAACTGTTAAATACTTCAGGTTCTAATTTGCTTATAAAATTTGAAAGAGCTGGCTGGGCAGAAATGTCTACATCACTGGGTGGTTTTGTTTCCTTTTCTGTTTCCTGAGCAGTATCATCAGGTACAGTATGATCAGAAGTCACCATTAGCTCCGTGGCATGGTGTGGCTGGTTCACTTCTATTTCAGTTAAACCCAAAGTTGAAGGATGCTGCTCAGTAGAGATGGTGTTTTTCAAAGTATCACTACAAAGTGGTTCAAGGTGTTTATTGAAGTCACTTGAGGAAACTGGTATGATATATCTTCCTAGAGAATTCAATGCTATCTTAGTACCAGAACCATTAAGACTGACTGGTGGCCAATTCCCACCCTTGGCTGTTGCTTTGATAATAGAATTTAGTTTCTCATGCAAGTCATCTACAAACTCCTGTACACCAGCTTTGGAAGTCTTAGAATATATGAACTGAGAAAGTCGTTTCATCTTCTCTTGTGTTGAAAAGACAGGTGTGGGAATTCTACTGACATATGAAACATTCTTTTGCTTCAAAATCTCTTCTATCTTCCTAGAAAAGATATTGTATTCTCCTAACACTGTGCTCTCTGTGGTTTCGTTCACTGCAGGCGGCTCTGCTGCTGGCACACACTGCTCCTCCACTGTCATCACCTGACCTGTTAACACGTTCTCCTCAGTGGTGCCCTTTAGTGTGTCTGTAAATGGAGAGGATGGAAACTGGGAATCAGAACTTCTCTGTCTACTTACTACCCGGGGGTCGTTAGGAAAGGTCTCCTGTGGTGGCAGATACACCAGTTGTTCTTCTGGTGATTTCATACCTATACAGGAAGAGTTTATTATAAGAGTAATTGAAAAAAATAACATTTGAAAAAACAAACATTTTTTGAGGGGAAAAAAAGGTAATTAGAACTAATTACACATTGGAAGGTAGAATAAAAATCAAAAATGATGGTATGAAAAGGGCCAATTTGGCATCAATACAAGTTATTTCTGCTTCCCTACCTTTCTGTCTGACTTTAATAGACATGTTTTAATCAGGATAGTCAGTTGCAACAGTTTGCTCTAACCCTATATTCTTTGTCAAGTACCGTCTACTATCTATGTCTATAAAAGGCTAATATGCAAACTGTCCCCTTGGGAGATCACTCACTATGATGTCCGCTGGCCATCAGAGGGTGGTACGGAATGAAGGAGGCCCCACCAGCAGATGGAAGGCCCTGATCAGTCCTGATTGCTGGCCAGGCCTAGGGACCCTACCTGTGCATGAATTTCGAGCACCGGGCTCTAGTAGTAATATAATACTAGAGGGCCAGCACACAAAACTCGTGCAAGACGGGGAAGGTCCCCTCAGCCCAGTCTGCACCCTCTCCAATCTGGGACCCCTTGGACATTCCTCTCACAATCCTAGACCGCTGTCTCCTTACCCCTCACCTGCCTGCCCAATCACTCCTAACTGCTCCCCCTTCCCCCATAGACCTGGTCATCCCCAACTTCCTCCCCTGCCCTGGTTGCCCCTCATTATCCCCCGCCCCTGCCGACTTGGTCACCCCAGCAGCCTGCTGTTCAGTTGTCCCTCACTGACGCCCCTGCTGGCCTGGTCACCCCAGCAGCCTGCTGTTTGGTCATCCAGTCGTCTTGGTCATGACAGCCCCTGGATTTTTATATATTAGGATAGTCTTGATAGGAAAATTTGAGAGTAAGGCAATTGAAAGAATGCCAAACTAAAATAATGGGGGAATAACGTCCATCTTAAGAGTTGTATTCATGATGTAGGATAATTAATTTTATGTTTCCAGATTACTTTCTCCTATGAGGTTGCTTAATGGATTTCCTACAATGTTAGGGACTTTAATTTATCAGGGGGAAAAAGGCTCAATAATACAGAAAAAGAACATATTTCAAAATTGCATTAAGAGTAACATTTTTGACAGTGCTTTCTTAAGCATTTTTATTTTGTTTCAAAATAATTCCAAGAGAAATCATTTAAGATAAAGAGGTCATTCAGCTAACTGATGCTAACAGAATTATTTAACTTTTGACTCTTGACAATTAGCTCAACCCATAAGATCATAATTCCCTCCCTGCCTACAAATCCTAAATTCAAACAAAATGTTTTTGAAATTACATTTCAAAACAGGTACCCTAAGTCCCTTTTAAAAACAAGGAGAAAGACCTTTAACAACGATTTAATATTATATTTTAGAAAAAGAAAAAATTTCTGATCTTTGACTATAAGATTGATACTACACAATTTTATCCTTTAAAAATTACTATTTTAAAAAAATCTTAGCCAATATTCTATAAAAAATTGCTATTCTAGTATATGTAATGGTGCCTCTAAGTCAGAAAGTCCAGGTACTAGTTTTCAAAACTATAGTACTTTAAAGATACAGTGAATTCCGCCGAAGCCGGTTTGGCTCAGTGGTAGAGCAGGTCTGCGGACTGAAGGGTCCCAGGTTCTATTCCGGTCGGGGGCATGTACATTGGTTGCGGGTACATTCCCCGGTTAGGGGTGTGCAAGAGGCAGCTGGTCGATGTTTCTCTCTCATCGGCATTTCTAGCTCTCTATCTCTCTCCCTTTCTCTCTGTAAAAAATCAATAAAAATTTTAAAAAAAATAAAGATACAGTGAATTCCCTATTCACCTAGGTGTAGCAGCATGCCCTCTTTACACAAAATTCAGATTTTATTTTCCCACACTCACACTTTTCTAAAGGTTTTAAACAGCCTCAGCTGCAGTAAGCTTGTCACATTTCTCTATCAACCCCAGTGGTTGCCATGAACCACTGTAACCATTAACTGCTGTAAAAGTACAGTCCGCAGGGTAAGAAAACCATAGCAGGTTTGTAGGTGGAAGAGAAGGGGAGCAAAATATCCAATATCATGGTACGAACTGAAATTGTATTAACTGGTAAGTCAGAAAATTCAAATTCCAGAAAATAACTCAGTAATACTAAATATTCTTTTTAAATTTCAATATAGGGTTTAGTGCATATGTAAAATGTTTGTGCTAGGAGTGGAAGATTTACTCTTTGAAGTATTTTATATATTTCTTGAATTATGAATCATGTCAAATGCCTAATTTGTTTAAAGATTTTTAATTGTACCTCATAAAACAAATGGGTTGAGGACCACCTGTAACTTAAAAACTTCTGAATCACTTATTATTTTAAATAAAATACTTGCTCCCCAAAATCTATAGCCATAGTTCACACCTATAAACTTATTCTTGAAGGGCTATTGATAAAGGGAATTTTTAAAAGATGAAATATGACTTAAATCTACCTGGGGAATTCTCCATATTAAAAAGGCTCTAAACCAAATCCATTTTAAAAATGCAAATGATCACTACCTAATTTTATTTTGCACAAATTTCCCCTATATGATTTTAACTGGTAGGTTTATTTTATTTTTAAAATGTCTTCCTCAATAAGAAACATGCCAATATCCATAATAATGCATGTTTTCTATTGTTATTCAAGCATTGCAATACTTTGTCTTTTAAATGAAAAGCAAGTAGTATTCAGATATTTGTACTTTCAATCACAATATATGAAGATGGCATGCCAAATAAGAAAACTGCTGATGCTCATGAAGCATTTTGAAGTATAAACAAGATACCTGCTGCTCCTGAAGAGAAAGAATTACTGATAGACACAAAACACAGGTGAATCCCAGACATAATGTTCAGTGAAAGACCCCAAAACAGGAGGACAGGTAGGTTCCATATATCTTAAATTCAAGAATAGGTAAAACTAATCTATGATGAATGAAGTCACATTTAGTAATAACTACTAGGGGCAGGAAGAGCAGTAACTAGGAAGATGCAAAAGAAAGCCTCAGGGGCTGCAAGTGTTCTTTCTACACAATGATCTGGATGGTGTCACCTACATGTATCCATTTAGGTCATCTTTATCTAGGAAATATAATATCTTTCTCCAAGAGAATCTTGAACTAAAAGTCTTTTTAACTTCTAAAAGAGAGGAATAACTGTAAAGAACTACTAAAAAATCAAAATTCATTTAGCTTTCCTTCCCCCAAAAAACACGTTAAGCACCATGTCAGTCACAAGTGACTGAAACAGAAAGGAAGACAAAACAAGCTTGGCGCTTAACGTGTTAAGATTTCTAAAAGAGAAAGAACAACAAAACGATAAGTAAAAAAGACCCACTACCAAACTCTAAGAAAACAAAGCCTATGACCATGCAGGGATATTGAACTGACTGAGCTCAGACAGAAGACTTTTAGTTGCACCCACTGCAACTAGCTAATCGTTACTACCTGTAAATGTTTCTGGAATGGGAAAGTTCCCTAATCTCTAATTTAAATTATCTGCAAAAATTAACTTTACCATTATAGGAAGAAGAATTGGGTTAAAAAAAAATTTCAAGATTAGGAGTAATGTACAAAGATAAATGGCTTCACCTCCATGTATCTGTATAAAATTAAGAGAAACTTAAAGACTGCTTCACACAAAACATCCTTCAGAAGTGAATTAAGAAAAATATTCCCAAATCATCACATCAGATAGAATTGACTGTAGGTGAAGAAACAACTGTAATCTTTATGAATATGTAGTGACTTCTTTGAACACATTCTTTATAAAATATTTGATACAAATCAAGTAATGATATAAGTGATATAATCCAAATTTCCTGTAATTAACAGAACTTAAATTGATGCCCTACTGATGAAAGACCAGAAATGCAAGTAGCAACTCTGAAGAAGGGCACAGTGGGAGGGAGGGAAAGCAAAGGGAGCCTTCTCACCTGGCATTTGTTTTTCACCATGTTTCCCCAGCTGGTCTTCTGGGCTTCTTTCATTCCCTTCTAACAGAAAGCATCCATTAGTCTTATAGACTCTCTTCCGATATTGATGATACCTAGTAAGCAGCTCTGAGACAACCCCAAATGCTAACAAATCCAAGTAGTCCTTAATTTGCCTAAAATAATCCTAAAGGCTCATTCAGAAATGGGAAGTTGCTTCCCTTTATATTCAGTTGATGACGGAATATCAACACCTAGATATTGTGACTTCGAATGGCTCTGAAATTAACTGTAATGGTATCTAAATGAGGAACGGTTAGGATAATCATCTTGTACCCATTACTTCCTTATTCTATTCTCCCACTAATACTGACACCCTCAGCTCCCAAGTGAGAAACAGTTGCCTCTCTACCATCATTCCTAGGCCTCTTACCCTCTCTAGTAAGGTGCTAAGTAGAAAATGATGCTGAAGCCCAAGGAAATTTATCAAAGTTTTAGAAATTCTTCTCAGAATCCTTGGAAGTCTCAGTAGCTTCTAGGTTATAAATCAATCTACTTTTTCCCTTTTAAAGGTTAAACAAAGGTCCAGAAATGGAAAAGATGTGCCCTGGAAATATTTCAAGAAATGCTTAGCTAACAAAGATGAATAAAAACTTTAATCTAAGATTATGTATATAGGTGCTCATACATGTGTTTGCACAGAGAAATTAGGATACTGCAAAATGATCTTTTAACATTTGCTAAACTATTTTTACCCCACGGTTCATTAAGCTTCCCAGGATATTTGCATTTTAGGACATTCTCCATAATGATCCAATTATGCCAAGATAATCCAATACTAAGAAATCAAATTTTCTTTTAAATAGATGAACCTCAATATGACCACTTATTTGATGACAGCTTATTATAAGAAAGCTTATAATTGGAGCAGAGAGCATTTACTGGCTGTCCAAAGACCATCACTGCATCTCTGTATTTATCTCACCTTATTAGAAACTCAATTTCTGCCAATAATTTTCATTTGGAAATTTACATACTAAACTCCATTCAGAGAAGAAGCATGTTTTAAATCCCTATTTCTTAACAGGACTTTTTGCAGATATTTGCTGATGCTAAAAACAATAACATTTGATAAACATTATATTGCTCAAAGTAAGACACTGAAGATGTCAGAGCCAAGACAAAGCACTCAAGAGTAGGATCTAGAAAAGATGAAACCTTGGTCCCTAAGTAAAACCAAGTGAACCTAATTCCCAGTACACTTGTTCTTACCTGTAATTGGAATCAGTTTCCAATGTATTTCAGTCTCTTCAACATTATTTGACTTAGATTGTTTATGGAATCCATGTTCAATGGGAATGTTGGGACACAAACTGCAATCTTCAAAATTACTCATGTTAATTAAATTTGGTTCCTAAAAATTAAGAAGACATATTCAATAACTTTCTTTTCAATTCATTTTAATGTCAAGAATAAACAACCATTTTTTCACAGCAAATTCACAGCCTTCAATCTGAACATTGAAAATTAGTCAAATTAACATGGTAAATTAATAATACTTCAGCCTTACATTAAAACACCTTTCCTTCAAAACATAATTTGATATTGAATTAGAACTGAGGTTGGTCAACTTTTTCATTCAAGCACCAAGTTATTTTAGGCTTTGTGGACCATATACTCAGATGCTCAGCACTGTCACTGTGTGCAAAAAGCAGCCAAGGCAATATCTAACCAAACAGGCATGGCTGTGTTCCAACAGAACTTTAGTTACAAACATAGGCAGTGAGCTCAGTTTGGCCTTTAACAACCCAATGTAGAGTACTAAACATGTTAGGAAATGCTAACAACATAAATTAGTTTCTCAGTGCCTACTTTACATATTTCCCCAAGTGAGCCTCCTACAATCATCCTTCCCCTACAGTAAGTATCTGAAAACTACATGGACAAATGCTACGGACATACATATGACTTTTAGCCAAAGGCAGGGAAGAGAAAATGAAGAGTAAATTAGAAATAAGCCCTTAGGATGTTGCCATGCTAGTATTGTTCCTCAGTAATGTAGTCACTTATTGGGGGAATATAAGACTACTTCTCAGCTAGAGATCGGTACTCAACAGAAGTCATAAATAAGCTGGATGCCCTGTCAAGTAAGGCTATGTCACTTCAGTGGTAATCTTAAAGGCAATTCTAAGTACCTAACCTTGTTTGTAATACTAGTGCACTGACTTTACTCACCTCATCTGCTTCACCTATGGGTAATGGTATTTCTAGCAGAAAGCCAATGTTTCGATAATTCAAATTTATTATGAAACGACATGGAATTAACTTCCAATAAGCCATTTCTGAAAAATAGATAGTCTAGCCCTAATGTTATCACCATAGGTAAATCTTGGGACTATCAATAAACCTACAATCAGGAAGGAAAACTACTTTTCTAGTCAACTCTTTGTAAAAAGGGATAACTTAGAAATACTATCCTGGACACTTATTGAAATGTTTTCTTTTTAAAAGGGAGAAAAAAAAAACAAAGCACATCCTCTCTTTCACATACACATTCACAAAAGCAAACATATAATCAAAATATATAAAGCTTACTTCTTTCAAATGTAGTTTATGGTCAGTGCCTACTTCACTGGTAGAAAGAGCAACAGGATATTTTACAGACGATGTATCAGCGTCTAGCAATGGGCTCCGAGTGCCCTTAAAATGTGCATTTTCAATGTTTGCACAAGTAAGCTGCTCATATTCCTTCTTATCTCGGTTAGAATTCAATTCATATTCATGCTTTTGCCTCAGCTCTTCATAGGCACCATCAGAATTCAATCCTAAGGCTTTGTTGACTGTGTCTGTCAGGGATGCATCAGAATTGCGCGCATTTGCTAATGTTTCTGATAGCCAATTAAACAGCCTATGGATGTCAGCAACACCAGAGTTAGAGGTATCCTCCTGCTGCAAGTCAGTGTCACGCCCAAGTGAGCCAACGGGCTGTGGAGACTCTAAAGGGAAAAGAGAAAGAAGTCATCTCTTAAAGTTGAGCTTGGAAGGCTAGCATAATAATTTTAAAATTGAATGTACATAAAAATTAATCATCATAGACATTTATGGGCAGGAACTCAGTTGACTACATGTACATCCATCCCTTTACAAATATGACTGGTTCTAAACTTTTGCACATAGGTCAAAATTCCTATTAAATGAAAATTTATTTACATAATTTGAAAAATCTATTAATGGATAAATGAGCTTAAACATCAAGTTGGTAATATGGATAATATATTTATTAATGACCATACTACAGTTTCCTTAAAATCTACTAACAAAACCCCCAAGTCAACCAGATGCTGGACAAGAAATAAAATATTTGTTGCTACTTTGCAAAATATTAGGAAGATATACAAATTACACTAAAGGAAAAAAAGTACTCATGACTTAATTTGAGTTCTATCCCCTTTATAGCTTTTATGTTTTGTCCTTAAGATACTGTCTGACATTCTTATCATCTAAGGCTTATCTCAATTGACTAGATTACCTAAAAAAGTCTACACTAACTTTGCACTAAGAACAGAAAGCACTATAAGAGCTAGCTCTAAGTTGGTACAAATCTGGGAATTCTGCAAACAATATATTTAAAAACTTGCAAAAGGGGTAGACCTTCAGAAAGTCATGTGCTTTTAATGCTGAAGAAAAGTAAAACCTGGGTAAGGTATAATGTACCACAGCAAAAAACAAAACATCAAAGAGCAGAGTACATACTGTATGATTCAAATTATATGTACATACACAGCAGGCAAAATTAGTCAACAGAGGCAGAAAGCAGATCAGTATTGGGGTGAGATTAGCTACCAAGGAATATAAGGCAGTGTAATAAAAATGTTTTATATATTGGACTGCTAGTACATTAAAAATGTTCTATATATTGAAGTAGTATTAACACAGCTATAAAAATTCATCAAATTGCCCTTAAAATGGGTACATTGTATATAAATCATATCTTTAAAAATTTATGTTAAAGTGGATAGGCAAGATGGAAGGTTACCTCTTATTAAATGAATGGGTTCACCACCAAATCAAGATCAGGGTATTTTAGCCCTGCCTGGTGTGACTCAGTTGACTGGAGCATCCCTCTGTACACCAAAAGGTGGCAGAGCACATACCTAGGTTATGGGTTCAATTCCCAGTCCAGTTAGAGCACATACAGGAAGCAACCAAATGAAATTTCTCTCACATGTATGTTTTTTCTCTCTCTCTCAAAAAAAAAAAAAAAAAAAATCAATTAACATTTACTTAAAAAAAAATCAGAGTATTTTAGATGTTAGAATATAATCTTTAAATCTCTAATTTTAGTAATCAGAACTAAAGTGTGCAAAATGACTACAAAGAAAGAAGTGAGGAACACCTAGAAATGCAAGTCTGATCATCACGGTTCTGGTTTAACCTAGCCACCCTTTGCCCTGCTGCATTTCTCCTTTGGTCTATTATCATTAGCATGGCTTCACCATCATTTTATTGAAAAGCCTGATTTTTACCCACACTTTTTCACATGTGCAAAATTAGTCAATATCAGCTAAAAATGGCACCAAACTTTACTTATCTCGCCTCTCATGTGCTCAGTGCTAGGAAATAGAGCCAAGTTTAGGAACAATACTTTAGAGTTAGTCAGAACTGAGTTCAATCATGGATTAGTGAACTACATAGCTTTAGATACTTATTTAATTTCTCAGAAATTACTTTGTTGTCTGTAAAATAAAGATAGTAATGTCTTGTATTCAAGAACGAAATGAGTCCACATATATAAAACACCTAATACATAGGAAGATCTTAAATCTCAAGATACATGTTGACAGTATGGATCAGACACAGTCAACAGGTCCAGCACACAGCAGAAATCCAGCATAAGCTAAAGGAGATGAAAAGCATCAAGGAGCAGAACATCAAGAAACTTATTCTGGAGGGATCTGAACTGCATAGATATGAACGCTTGAGAGAAATCAAAGATGCTTCAAAAAGAAAGAAATAGAAGTAAATGGCAAATCAAGATATATTCTGAGAAAGATGAGCTTTAACAAAGGAGCATGTAAAGGAAGAATGGGGAATATGGCTACTCAGGGTAGATGTTGCCAACCCAGAAAAAAACCTGAAAGATGAATACAGAAACTGAGATCGGTGGCAAATTAGCAAAGCAGTATTGAGAAGAGTATCATACTGAAGTGAGTGATAGAAGCTAGAAAGTCACCCAGGTGATAAGAATACGGACAAAGATACATTAGAAAACGTAAAAAAAGTTATTGAAAACAACACTGTCAAATAAAATTCTCTACAAAGATGAAAATATTCTTGATCTGTACTGTTCAATAAAGTGGTTTAGCTGGTTTAACAAAGGAAATTAATTTTTGTTTCATTTAAATTAAGCTTTCTGCACTATCCAATATGGCAGCCACTAGCCACATGTTATTAAATATCTGCCTAGTTAATAAGAACAGTAGCAGCAGCATAAAATGTAAACTGTTACCAAAAAGGTACTGAATATAAAGAAACGTATTTCATGCTTATGTACTAGCAGTGTAAAGATCTTAAAAATATAGATAAAAAAGTATATTAAAATAGTTGCAATATTGAAACACAAATTTAAATCAAAGGCCTCCCATTTCTTCTTATGTCAACTAAAGCAAAGAAAACTAGGGGGGGGAAAGGGAGGGGAGGCACAAACATATTACTGGATTCCCAGGGTAGAAAAAAACATATGTATGCATCTAAGAAAAACAGCAATGGCATCTAAGAAATTTTATTTTAAAGTTAAGTAGATTCCCCTCATTAAGTAACACTCCTCAAACCCCCAATATTTTATACTTTTCCAATTATAAAATTAAAGAAATATAAAAGGACAAGTGGACAATTAGGCTAAAAGCTGAGAATACTTTCTCACATTTGTCTACGTTACACAATTCAGAAATCCAATGTGCTAGGATAGGAGTTGGCAAATAACTGTATTTTCTGTGAAGGACCGGGGAGTAAATATTTTGGGCTTTGTGGGCCATAAAATCTGTCCCAACTCTGCCATAATAGTGTGAAAGCAGCTATGTATACACATAAATGAACAGGCACGGCTGTATTCCAGTACTTTCTTTACAAAAACAGAAAACAGGCTGGATTGGCTTTCATTTTGTAATCTGCAGACCCCTATCCTATAAGCAAGGACAGAACTACTTTACTATATTTTTGGTTATTTTTATATTGTATGAGCAAACTGATATTTTACCTTCATACAGATGGCAATTTTCAGCTAAATTACTGGTTTTGGCGAACTTTCTCATATTTTCAGGTAGATCCTCAAGCTTCCTCTTCAAGACAGTTTTGCTTCTCGTATCTTCTGTGTCTGAATCCCCACCCACATTTTTTTTCCTAGATTGAATCAAATTAATCAATTCTTTGACTCTATCCTTATCATAATCCAAAGAGTGAGATGACTTCTGCTTTCCAGGTTTAATAGTCTCACCCCTTGAGTTATTTCGTTTCCCAAATTTCTTTTTTGTGCCATTCATTTCTTCATGGCCTTCATAATCTGAAAGTTGACCAAACTGTTGAAGTTTTCTATTGTCTTCAAATAGCTCTTTTAACTGACAAATAGGTAACTGATACATTTCAGGCCGAAAAATATAGGTGCGCAAACAATCATCAATATGGGATTTATTTCTTGGAGCTGGGTATAAGAATTTTTTATCATCTAATCGTGAATCATATGGAAACATAGTAAACTCTCGTTTACCTGAACCAAAACCTCGCTTAAAAAATTCACTCACATACTTTTCAACGACAGAATGAAAATTTATACTATTTATATTTTTGAATTCCTTTCGACACCGAATCAAAGCAAATTGTAAAAACTGAGTTATTTTTAATATATCTTGCATGCTCTCGTGTCTTTCCGGTGGTGCTACATTGGTTGAACCTTTTTGTGCTGTAAACAAAAAGAGTACGCCATGTTAGCAATGAAGAAACTAATCAAATACAGATCTATATATTGCCAAAGAAATGTTAACATTAATACATTAATGGTGAACCAAACTCGTATGTACCTTAATACATATATGTAAAATAGAAATATATAAATCACATGTTTCTAAGTCTAGGGGACTAAAACAAGCTGATGAGAAACTAAAACAAAGAAAATTATAGAACATATTTTTAAAGGGAAAAGTACCCACTCATTGAAGATCTCATTTCCTTCTGTAATTAGGCCTTCCAACTTGGGGCAAGCAAAATATCAGGAGAAATAAAGAAGCAGGGCAAGATATGAGGCTCCTCATAAGATAGTCCTACCCAGGATAGCAATGGCATTCTTTCCTGTTATAACACCTTCGTAAGAACTCTATCCCTATAAGGAGATATGCAGGCAAAGAGTGCTACAACTGAGAATCTCATTCTTAATCTAACAGTGAAAGCCATTAGTGGGAACTTTATCTTAAAATAGCACTAAAGTTAGTTCTTAAGAATGGTGAAAAGCAGATTTTGTCTGATATCAGTGTGAAAAATTCTAATTAATTTTGAATGGCCTAATATTTAGGCCAGCACATGATGCTTTTACAATTGCTAAAATCTGAATGCAAAAATGAACTAAGATTTTTTAAAAATCATATTTTATAAAACCCCAAAAGCTATTGTGTTATAACAATTATAATTAACATTTAGTGGGGGGGGGGCTATTAAAACCCAAATAATTTTTCATAGTAAAAAAATAAATCAAGTCATATAATTTGTACTTTACATTGCAAATATCTCTTACTACCCCAGTATTTCCTAAAACATGATATAAGAAAAACAAACTGCTTAGAGAGTAATCTGGAAATTTTCAATATACGTATCTATAAGGCTGGATTAAGATAGTCAAAGAACTTACAAGTAACTATGCCTCTAGATTCTTGAAACAGAAACAAAGCATGTAGGATTCGAGATCTGGCAGTTTGATGTTCTAAAAAAACAGAAGTCAAATTAATTGGCAATGTGTTTTACCTAAAAACTTAAAAAAGAATTATAAAAATTAAAGACATTACCTACCATATGGAGAAACCATTTGAAAAGGAGAGAGAAGAAAAAGGTATCCTCGGTCACCCAAAGGTTTAACAAGAACCTGTATTTTTAGAAGAGGGAAAAAATTTAATCTGCTTTATTACTATTATCCATAAGGCAGATTCAGAAGTTTCCGCTAATTAGTTCTTGATCATCTTTAGGAAACATATTGCCCCTTAATTGTTAAAAACTCTTCTCCAACTCTGCAAATTCACAGAATTCTAATAAAATATTCTTTAGTTTTTGTAACTTAAGTGAGAAAATTCCTCTAATTTACTGTGAAACCAACTTGCTGATTTTCTCTTGACACTAAAATATAAGGATCAAACTAAACCCTTCAAAAGCAATTCAAAAGACATGCTGATGGCAAAGGCAGTGTGTTGGATGTTGGAAATATAAAACAAGTATAACACAAATGCTGCCTTTAAGAGTTCAAGCTAATCACAAATGAAATGTGTTGCTAATTCTTCAGATATTTAATGAAAATCTTTCACACATAAGGCAAATTGCCTTGCCAGAAATTACAATACAAGATCACGAGTAGTTTATAATTGGGTGGACAGAGATTCACAGAAAATATCATAATTAGATTAAGACAGACAAATTCTTAATAAGATTTACAAAGCAACATGAAGGAAAAAATACAGTTCATTTATGATCAGAAAAGAAACAAAGAGTACTTGGAGGTGAATTTTGAATTTCAGTGCCAAGAACCTGAGATTGGGGGATGGACATTTCAACAGAGGCAACATCTGAACAAAGGCAGAGTTATAATATGATAGACATCAGAATACCTATGCCTGGCAAATGGGTAAGGGCAGATTAGGACAAATGTCCAAGACAAGCATACAAAGAAAGATCCTAGGATAAATTATAAAAAGACAAGAATGCCGAGTTAGCCAGGAATACACTGGAGAGTATACCCTTTTGAAGTGGAAGGATTCCCTTGAAAGAAAACTTGTGCCACAAATTTCTATTAAATAATTCCAACAAACAAAATTTGTGTACGAACCCATAATTTTAAGGCTGAAAACTATGCTATGCTACCAATTTACATTTAATAAAACATTGTTTGAACACTCAAAAGGTAGACAGTGTACATAAAAATTTTGTTTCAGACTCAAACACTTTTATCCAAAAGTTTTATATATCATATCCTTTAAAACATTTTGTCCAACTCCAGGTTGTCAAAAGAGGAAGTTGGAAAACACAAATAAAATTTTCATGTTGTGTGTGGTCACTGAAGGAAAACAATTAAATTCTTTTAATTTTTCACCCACTCCAAATACCAGGCTTTTAAAATTCCTGTGGCTTAGTGGTCTTTATACAGACCACTGTCCTCAATTCTAAGGGAATCAACACCCTAACACCCAGACAGGCTTTAGTAGTAATAACTGTGACTTTAGCTCAAAGAAAGTTTAAGCTCTCTAGAAAAGGAAATACACAGCCAGCCAGCATGGCTGAGTGGTTGAGCATCAACCTATGAACCAGGAAGTCATAATTCCCAGTAAAGGACACATGCCTGGGTTGCAGGCTCAATCCCCAGTAGGGGTGTGTAGGAGGAGAAGATCAATGACTCTCTCTCTCATCATCAATGTTCCTATCTTTCTCTCCCTCTCCTTTCTTCTCTGGAATCAATAAAAATATTTTTTTTAAATGAAAGAAAAATCATACCTATAAACTTTATGCCCCTACTGCCTCTATCGGGTCTAGTAATAATTAATGTCGTTTTAAAACATTCGTTTAAAATCTTGCTTGGCGTTGACTTGTATTGACATAACTTTCAAACACGTGGTATCTACAGAACGTGTGAAGTGCAATTAATAAGTTTTGCTTGAAAAAGTTTGTGTTTGGTTTGGTTTTTGTTGCAAAACTAGGGCTAAGAAGATGGCGGATGAAGAGCATATTCGGCACTGCATGCTTTACGAGTTCCAATTAGGAAGAAAAGCAAGTGAGGCTGCAAAAAACATCTGTAATGCTCTTGGTCAAGATGCAGTTAGCGCCAGAAAATGCCAGCGTTGGTTTGAGAAATTTCGCGAGGGAAATTTTTTGTTAGATGACAAGAGTCGTCGAGGCCGTGTGTCCAATTTTGATCAAGAAGCTCTTCACGCTCTTTTGGTGCAAAATCCTCAAATTACCCAACAAGAGCTTGCGACAACTTTAAATTGTTCACAAAAAAACAATTTCCAATCAATCGCGTGCACTTGGCAAAGTCCAAAAGTTTGGAAAATGGGTTCCTCACGAGTTGACCCACAACAACCATAATCAAAGAGTCACAATTTGCAGTTCGCTCCTCTCTCGTCAAAACCGTTTGCCGTTTTTAGAGCAAATTGTTACCGGAGATGAAAAATGGGTGCTGTATGTTAATTTGAAAAGGCGGCCTCAATGGTTGGACAAAAATGAGGCTCCGCAGCCCACGCCAAAACCTGACTTGCATGCGAAAAAAGTGATGTTGTGTGTTTGGTGGAATTTTAAAGGAATTCTTCATTATGAACTTTTACCATCTAACCAAACCATTCCAAGTGCAGTGTATAGTGCCCAATTGGAAAGGTTAGCCCAAGCTTTAAGAGAAAAAGAACCCGCGCTGATTAATCGGAAGGGCGTAATTCTTCACCACGATAACGCACGACCGCATACTGCAAGAATCACTGCTGAAAAACTGCGCCAGTTGGAATGGGAAGTTCTCCCTCAACCTGCATATTCTCCTGATATTGCCCCTTCCGATTACCATTTGTTTCATTCTTTGCAAAACTTTCTTCTTGGAAAAAAATTTAATAATGAAGAATGCCTCAAAAATGCATTGACCAAATTTTTTGCATCAAAATCACAAGAATTTTACAACAGAGGGATTAAAATGCTTCCTGAGCGTTGGGCACAAGTAGTAGAAAACAACGGCAACTATATTGTTGATTAAATTTTGTTGTATTGTTTAAATAAATTCGATTTAAAAAGTATTAGAAAACGACATTAATTATTACTAAACCTAATATTTGTTACATCTTACTGTTTCTTTCAGAAAAGAGTACCGTATTAACCCAGTGTGTGCATTTTTATTATTTGACTAGAGGCCCGGTGCATGAAATTCATGAATGGGGTGGGGGAGGTAGGTGGTTGATTTGAGGGGGGTGTCCCTCAACCCAACCACTGTGCTTGCCTGGCTTCTGGCTGAGCGGTTCCCCCCCCCCCGTGGGAGCGCACTGACTACCAGGGGCAGCTCCTGTATTGAGCATCTGCTCTTTGGTGGTCAGCAGCACATCACAGCAACTGGTCATTCCGCTACTTGGTCGATTTGCATATTAGCTTTTTATTATGTAAAGTTGTACTATTTTGACTTTTCAATAACAAAAAAGGTAATTAATGTGGTACAAAAGTGCATTAAAATATAAAATATTTTAGCTCACAATCTTAAATGACCCTTAGAAGGAAATAATACACTCTAAGTGAGATTCAGCAGAAACAACAGATTCAAACACCTAAGGGCTTCAAATTGGAATTATCAGATGCAATATATACAACAACAAATATGAAATGTTCAAATAAATAAACAAAATATATGGCATAAATGGAAACACATTCACACAAAAATTAATATACTAATATTCAGAGCAACAATATTCATAATAGCTAATGCATTACATTATAGCTGATAAATGGACAAAATGTGGCATAATCCATACAATAAAATACGATTCAGCTATAAAAAGGGATGAAGTAGTGATATATGCTACAACATGGATGGCCCTTAAAAGTATTATGCTAAGTGAAAGCAGACAGGTACTACAGGCCATATAATGCATGATTCCACTTATATAAAATGTCCTGAATAGACAATCCCATACAGACAAAGGTAGATTAATGGTTGCCAGGGACTGGAGGGAGGAAAAAATGCAAAGTAAATGCTTAATGAGTATGAGGTTTCTTTATAGGGTGATGGAAATACTCTGGAATTAGATAGTGGTGATGGTTGCACAACACTGAACCTACTAAAAAAAATCACTGAATTGTACACTTTAAAATGGCTGAAATGGTGAATCTTATTTAGATAAAAACAACATCAAGAAATATCAGAATATAAACTCCATCTCCTAGAACAGTGACCAGTACATAATAGGTAATCAACAGTATTTCTGAAAGAATTACTAGATCTAAAAAAGAATCAAATATAACTTTCAGAAGTATTCTTTGTGAAATTAGAAATTCTATGAATGGATTAAACAGCAAATTAGACATAGCTAATTTACAGAATTTGTAAACTAGAAGATAGCTATGATGGAATTATTCAGAATGCAACACAGATAAATAAGTAGATGAAAACTATTAGTACAAGAGAAATTAACAAACCAGAAGTAGAGAATGAAAAGGTCTGACATATGTTGGTTCATAGTCTTAGAAAGACAGTCTAAAGAAAAGAAGGAGCCCTGGCCAGTTTGGAATGAAGGATAGCAGGTTCAATTGATTCCAGTCAAGGGCATGTACCTCGATTGTAGGCTCAATCCCCAGCACTGGTCAGGACAAGTGCAGGAGGCAACCAATCGATGTCTCTCTCTCACACAGTGATTTTTTTTTTTCCTCTGCCTGTCTCTCCCGCTCCCTTCCACTCTGAAAATAAAAAAATAAAAAAAATAAATAAATAAAAATCCTTCGGTGAGGATTAACAACAAAAAGAAAAAAATGAAAAAAATGAAAAAAGAAAAAGATGAAATAGACATAAATCTGAGATAACTAATATTCCAAAAATGAAGATATAAGTCCACAGATACAAAAAAATATATATACTACACTGGTTAAATAAGAAATCTACACCTAGATATATTTAATGTTAACTGCAAAACATCAAAAACAAAGATTTCTTCTTCTTCTTTTTTTTTTTTAAATATACTTTTATTGATTTAAAGCATCCGGGGGAAAAAAGAGGTTCTACAAAGGAACAATAATTACACTAAGAGCTGACTTCTCAATAAAAGTACTGTATTTTCCGGCGTATAAGACGACCCCCTAATCTTACAGTTAAAACATAGGTCTAGGCCTATATTCGCTGTATAAGACTACCCCCCATTTTCT